GTCAACTCTTGGGAGTGTGCTAGCATGTGTCTAGTAAAACTTAACATGTGTTCAACATTGTGCGGCAATACATTATGTTTGTCAGTGTAGGATTGATTGAAGGTCTTAAATAATATCAATCCATCCGGAGATATGGGGCGTTTAGAAGTACAGAAATCTCGATCGACACAGATATCGATAGATTTGACAGCTACAAAAATATTGACAAGAACTTTGTAAACTGTAACGTGCATGTCGGATTTTTTAATCGTTGGATTTAGTTTTTGTATTTTTAAGGGTAAACTAAGATTTTACTTTGTAAACTATTATTTTAGTTGAAATTGATCTTATAAATTATTTTTTTAGTAAATTAATCTTTTGAACTATTTAAAATCAACTAATTGACCCTTTGTCGTTAGATTCCTTCCACTATTCCGTCAAATTTAAGGGCAAATTAGTCTTTTTATCATCAAATCTTACTTGTCATCTATAATCACCAATACATTATTGACACGTGTTATTGACACGTGGACACATAATAATTCAAAAACTTATAGTATAATAAGAAACATAAAGAAGCCACACGTTTACATAAAGGATCATTTCACATTGTCATACACATTATTATGTGTCCACATGTCATAATTTTATTGGTGGTTTCAAGTAATATGTAAGAATTGATGATAAAAAGACTAATTTGCCATTGAATTTGACAAAATAGTGGATGAAATCTAACGACAAGGGGTTAATTGGTTTATTTCAAATAGTTCAGGGGGTTAATTTACCAAAAAATAATAGTTCAGAGAGTCAATTTCAACTGGAGTAATAGTTCAGGAGGTCAAACGGCAATATACCTGATAAATACAGATTGAACTGTTAACACACTTACAATATCTCATACTCCATAACATTATACAAAATTTCGTTTGTTTAGTATCAAGTGTTCCAACTAAAGCTACCTAATACTGTAGTGTTCGAGCTAAAACCAGAGTACATACTAACATTTTATTGAAAGAAATTAAGTCTAACAATAACCTAAGTACCAACAGTTGAATATCAGAGTACGCAATGAACAAACGAACTAATTAAATATAAAACTTTATTAAACGGAATTATCAAGAAGGCTACATGAACCAAAAATGCTACATCTTGACTCACTTATTTCTCAAACTAAATTACAAGCAATATTTATAGAGAACTAAAGCTAAGAAACCCTAACTCGGATGGGTTAGGCCCAATTCCTAAACTAACAAGGAAAACCCAAATACTAAAATAAACATAAATACTAATATTTTCCAATACCCCCGTCAAACTCATGGCGGTACACAACATGAGTTTGCCAACAGACGATGTGGATGCAAGCTTGTTATGCTAATTTCCGATGCCAATTTCAATACGAAATTCCATCGGTGCAAGTGCAAGATTCCAAATTCTAGTGCTAGTGCCAATGCCAATGCAAGATTCCAATGTCAGTGCCAGTGCAAGATTTCCATGCCAATTGCAAGCTTCCGAACAAACCTAAACAAACAAGCAAAAAACCCAACTTTCACAACATCACTCGAGTAGTCACTAGTCCAAACACTTGAGCAATTGTCACGGAGGACAACAACAGACTCCAAATCATTCAAATAAACCAACAACCTCTGTGTGTGCTTCAGAGACTTCAAAAAAAGCCAATCTTTTCTCCTTGCTCGTGTGGGCCTCAAAAACTAACAATTTGTTTTTCAAAAACTTTTTTTTTTTCCTCTTCCTTTGTTTTCCCTCTTTTTTCCTTTCCTTTGTTTCCCCCCCTTTTTTCCTTCTTTACTCCTGCTTTCTTCAATTCATGCAGCAACCAAGTCAACCAAGTCAAGCAACATAAAGGGATTGCAGCAGATGGTTCGTGCAGATGGTGGTGGTGGCGACAAGAACGAATTCGACTATGGATGCTTTGCACGACAAACAAGCAAACATAATTTTACCACAATGAACAACAACAATTTTCTAGACGAATCTAAAAAATGGAAACACAATCAGCGGAAGATGACGAAAAAAAAACTGATACAAACAAATTGACACCCATCAACAGCAGATTAAATCTTGAAGGATCCAACCTGCTCTAATACCAAGTTGAATATTAGAGTACGCAACGAACAAACGAACTAACCGAATATAAAACTTTATTAAACTGAATTGTCAAGAAGGTTACATGAACCAATGATGCTACATCTTGACTCACTTATTTCTCAAACTAAATTACAAGCAATATTTATAGAGAACTAAACATAAGAAACATTAACTCGGATGAGTTAGACCCAATTCTTAAACCAACAAGGAAAACCCAAATACTAAAATAAACATAAATATTAATATTTTCCAACACTAACGGTAAGAAATTCTTGGGTGAGTATTATCAAACATCAAAAGGATGCACTAATCTCTACTAATTAATAAAATACTCATTGTCAACCAAAATCCTATGAAATTAACAGTTTAACCTTCTAATTAAAACAGAACATGAATAAGAAATATAGGGTAAAAATATAATTTCACAACCAAATTTTGCTTTTTTTTCAAAGCCTCACCTATATGTAATCATAACATCTCTAATTTAAAAAATAAATTAAAAAAAAAACTTCTCACTCCCACATTCTGTATCACTCTCTTCCTCTTTCCTTGTATTTCAAAAACAAAAATAAAAAATTTTCTCACACACTTTGTGTGTGCCATATGCTAGTATAAGTATAATGAGTTGTACTTAAGTTGGACTCAATTAAGGTTTTGTAACCGGATTAAAACCATTTTGGAGGGAAACTCAATTACTACAATTAAGTTTGAAATATAGCAGTTATAATTTGAGCAATAACCGATGACAACCACTTCCTTAATGGGTGGAAGCAGTTGCCATGATATGTAGAATTTAGGTTGGTCCCTCTTCTCGTATGTGGTTCAGTTTTGCATGCTTGCCCCATTGAGAGCTTGATAACCTTTCTGTGTGTACAGGAGAAGAGAAGAGAAGGCTAGTTTCCTATCGTAGCACCATGTCTTCAAGTGCAGGTTAGTTCAAAGCTTTCTGCATAAATGGTATTAGGGTTCATGTTCTTCATACACTGCCATTAATGATAAACGTAGTCTAGGATTTGGTTGATTGGATCCTTTTATGAAAACTCTTAGACTAACATGTTACTGAAAGAAATTAAGCCTAATAATAACGTAAGTACTTCACAGGAATCTATACTTTTGCTTTCAGTACTACAACAAATGGATACAAGTTTCTCCAAAGTACATTTCACACATTATTATCTTTGGATCACATGCTCGCACAAGTTTGTCATGTCGCGCGTATCAATTGTTAGGTGGGTACGTACCAGTTGATGGACCTTGTGGACGTCATATTTCATCATGTTCTCGAGAATTATAGTTTATCCTCTGGGTAGTTGTGTGAAGTTAATTGATTCGGTGCAGGTGGATGCCGTTGAGAATACGTAGTTCACTATCTTGTTTCGTTGGTGCGAGCGCTTACGGTCGCCACATGTTAGTGCGAGGGTACACTGAAAATATTTCTTTTTTATGTTATTTGATCATATACGTTGTTTTTGTCTAATTTATTTAGTTTCGCTCATTTAGTATCTTGTTTGAAAAATAATAACTATACAATATATTCTTTTTTTATACACTACTATTTAAACGTATCCGTTATTTTTATTTAATTTATTTAAGGTTAAATCATAAAAATGGTCTCTAAGATTTGTATAACACATCACTTTGGCCCTTGAGATTTCAAATCAATAGAAGTGGTACCTAAGATTGTCCATCATCCATCATTTTCGTTATTCCGTTAAAAACTTCGTTAAGTGTCCCAAAGTTCTTGGCGGGAAGTTTGGGCAATTTTCAAAGCTTTGTAACTCAATCGTATTTTAACCAAATTCGACCCATAATATATCAAAATGAAGATAGGGAAGTGTAGAATAAGATTATACCTATTTGGAAGCCTAATGGTTGCCGGAGGTGGCCGGAAAATAGCCTCAAAGTTGACTGGTCCGAGGGAAAACTGGAAAACTCGCCGGAAACTGGGTAAATTTTAAACGTTCATAACTTCTTCAATACTTAACGAAATCAAGTGATTCAAAAATGAAATTCATACTTCTTAATGAGATGAAGAGAATGGTAACTTTTTCAGTGGCTAAATCGTCATGGTTTGGCCGGAAAAGGCTCGAAAGTGGCTGTCTTGATCTCGAGTTAGCCACTTTCGAGCTATTTTCGGCCAAACCACGGCGAGTTAGCTGTCAAAAAATACCATTCTCTTCTTCTCGTTGAGAAGTATGATTTTTGTTTTTGAACCACTTGATTTCGCTGAGTATTGAAGAAGTTATGAACGTTTAAAGTTTACCCAGTTTATTGTGAGTTTTCCAATTTTCCCTTGGACCAGTCAAATTTGAGGCTATTTTTCGACCATCTTCGGAAATCATTGGGCTTAAAAATATGTATAATCTTATTCTACACTTTACTATCTCCATTTTGATATATTATAGGTCGAATTTGGTTAAGAAACGATTGAGTTACGAAGCTTTGAAAATTGCCCAAACTTCCAGCCAAGAACTCTGGGACACTTAACAGAGTTTTTAACGGAATGACCAAAATGATGGATGGTGGACAATCTCAGGGACTACTTCTATTGATTTGAAATCTCAGAGACCAAAATGAGAAGTTATGCAAATTTTAGGGACTATTTTCACAATTTAGCCTTTATTTAAAGGAAAACTAATGAAAAAGGCTTGAAAACTTTGAGTTTTAATGATAAGAACAAAATAAAGGGTAAAGTGAATAGTACCAGGATTGACTTTTTAGTGTAAAAATGTGATTTTTCGTTAAAGTGAACAGTAACAGGTGCTTTTCGTTAAAGTTCCCTTTATTTAATCCTATAATAAAAAATAAAGACGTGTGTAGAAATATAGTGCGTAGTTTCTCATTTATAATTATAAACTCGAATATTCATGGCGTGAAACCTTGAAAAACTGGTTTATAAGAAGTACTGAGATTTCAAGCAATAACCAGCCAAAACCGTAGCTTGCAGCAACAATGGCTTTATTGTCACATTTGAGTCAACTGTGGCAAGAGCAGCTACAACGGAGCAGTATCTTCAGTCTTCTCCTGGTTTCAATTCTCTTCCTTTCTATCTACATTTTGTTTTCATCACTCACAAAATCAAGTGGGAAACCACTCAAACTACCACCATCTCCACCGAAGTTGCCGCTGATCGGAAACCTACACCAGCTAGGCGCATTCCCACATCGCTCTCTTCGCGCTCTCTCGAAGAAGTATGGCTCTCTAATGCTATTTCACTTTGGAAAAGTTCCAACACTGGTTGTTTCATCTGTAGAAATGGCGAGGGAAGTCATGAAGACTCATGATACCGTCTTCGCCAGCCGCCCCCAAATGACGGCTCCAGGCATATTATTCTACGAAGGCCATGACGTGGCTTTCGCTCCTTATGGAAACTACTGGAGAAAAGTCCGGAAAATTTGTGTTCTTGAACTTCTGAGCCTTAAGAGGGTGCAACAATTTCAGTATGCTAGGGTGGAAGAAGCTGCTGAGATGGTCGAGAAGATTCAAACAGCGTGCCTCAGCGAGTCTCCGATTGATCTGAGCGAGCTGCTGATATTGACCTCCAACAACATAATGTGTAGGTCTATTCTTGGACAAAAGTTTGACGATGAAGATGGCAGTTGGTTTGGAGAGACGGCGAAAGCGTTGATGGTGCAAGTAATGAGCTTCAGTTTCGGAGATATGTTCCCTGCGTCGAGATGGATTGACAGTCTTAGAGGCTACATTGCGCATTTGAAAGCAATTTTTTCCCGTTTTGATAAGTTTTATGATCAGTTGATTGATGAACACAAGACGGCGGATAGAGAAGGTAAGACTATTAAGAAGGATTTTGTGGATATCCTCCTCCAAATTCAAAATGACGGCGCGCTTGACTTTGAGTTCACTAAAGAAGACCTCAAAGCACTCCTACAGGTTTGTTTATATCCTACTCCCTAACTCACATTACACACGGGCGCACGAAGGCACGCACGTACATATTGATATCGATTTGGGTTTGTAATTTTTTTATTTTAGGATATGTTTGTGGGGGGAAGTGATACTAGTTCGACTGCGATGGTATGGCTAATGGCGGAGCTTGTGAGAAATCCAAGAGTTATGAAGAAAGTCCAAGAAGAGGTAAGAAGAGTGGTGGGAAAAAAGGCAAAGGTAGAGGAGAACGACCTTAGTCAAATGAAGTACATGAAATGTGTCATCAAAGAAAACCTAAGACTTCATCCTCCGGCTCCTCTTTTAATTCCTCGTGAATCAACCGCAGACATAAAATTGGGAGGCTACGATATCCCCGCGAAAACAAGAGTGATGGTCAGTGCATTTTCCATACAGAGGGACCCTGAAGTATGGGACAGGCCGGAGGAGTTTATCCCGGAGAGGTTCGAGGACAGCTCCATTGATTTCAAGGGCCAGGACTTTCAACTCATCCCATTTGGTGCTGGGAGAAGGGGGTGCCCGGGAATCGCCTTTGGGGTTCTTTCAGCCGAACAGGTGCTTGCCAGCATTCTGTACTGGTTTGATTGGAAAGTGCCTAGTACTAGTGGTAGCGCATTGCCTGAAGCCTTGGACATGACTGAAGTTTACGGGCTCACGGTCCGCAAAAAAGCTCCTCTGATTCTTGTGCCCGTACCCTACTCTCCTTGATCCCTCCATCCAGATATTTCATGTTTTAACTTGCTCTTAATCTAGTTGTTCTTTTGTTTTTTGCTGAAGAAGTTGTCTGCCTAAATGATATGGTAAACTAAAAATTGTACCAGCTGCTTGTTTGCCTAAGTTCTCAGAGGCATCTCAATAAATACTTCCCCCATCTTAGCTACTTCCATTCCACCTTTGGGTTAATTTTTTAAAAGTCATTTTTTTGGAAAAAAAATTGTAGGACTCATGGCCAATCCCAAGTGGTCAAGTTTTTATTGGGAAAATTATTAGAACCTTCATTTAATGGAAACATTTGAAGTAGAAACCCGTCAATCGAAGTACTACAAGCCCGTTCCGCTCTACATAAATCTCTAATTAATTTTCTAAATAAATCTAATAAATTCCAACACTTGAGCCTTGATCTTAATATCTTCTCTATATTTGATCTCGTAGGTTCACACTTCTTTAATATCATCATGCCGATCACCAGGCTTTAAAATGTTGAACTTGCACATATATAGGGCAGTAGCATTGGTATGTAACCATTTGTCAATGCAAGTACAGTGAAAATTAACGATGATGGCGATTGTAGTTCTCCATTCTCGTAGTAGACAGAAAGGCAGATGCAGTATTCATGCAATTTACCAAAAATATTCATGTCAACAGGGTCGTCTAGTCAAATACCGTTCACTGTGATGAATTTGCCAAATCGAACGTCAAATGACCAACTGGTGCATATCAGATGTCCACACACAAGATTGTATTGTTTCATCCTAACACTTTCAAATGGTGCAAGTTTTGGGAAATTTTAAAACTTCATACCACCTAACCTTGGGGGATCATATCAGGGAGGCAGATTCTCTGCCCTCCCACTTCCCGTTCTCTCCTGTTTTGTGTGGTTACGGTTAAACCATGTCAACATTTTATATTATTTTTTTATAGAGATAATAAGATAAAAATAAATAATAATATAAAATATTAACTTAGCTTAACCGTAACCACACAAATAAGAGAGCGCGAGAAAGAAGAGTGCAGAGAATCTACCTCCATTATATCAGACCTCCCTTTTTATATATAGGGGCTGTCGTATGTATGTGGCAGCTGGTGTGGGACCCACATAAAGGATCCCGTCCCATTGTGAAATGTTGTTCATGAATTAAATCAGTAAGCACTACAAATTTCATCTGACGCATAAAATACATCTTACGGAGCAATCAATCCCCTTCAACATCTCCCATAATGTGTTCTAGGCTGTTGAAAGCTAGATCCACATGCGTCATTTATGGTCATCCATGACGTTTGTTAATATTGCCGTAGATGAGGGTGTGATAAAGTTTATGATGCAGAAAAAACATAATGGTTCTGGTACCACGGCGTAGAAATGCCGCAGTTTAGGGCATGTTTCAGTGCGGAAGTTACATTGAAAGCTAAAAATGACAAATATGAAACTTTTGAAGGAGGTACGTTTAAGAACAAAAAAGCTACAAATGACGAATATGAAATGTTTGAAGAGCTAGGTTTTGTAAGAATAATGAAGACAAAATCAAGGATCCAAGTGAAGAAGAAATCAAAGGTTAAGCTAGTGCCACTCGTCAATAGACGAGAAAGATGGTTATATGAAGGTTGTTATGAGTTGTTAGGCGTGTAGTTAGTTGAGATAAGGAGGTTCAAATATAATTCAATAGCTTAACTTTCACTACAAGCTTTGCAAGAAAGATAGTTATATAAACTACCATTGTAAACATTACTTGATAATAAAAATAAAAATAAAGCATTTCTCAGTCTAAAACTCTCGAGCTCTCTCTCTTTCTTTTCTGAATTTCTGCACTCAAGTTTCTTCAAGCTTTCTTCAATCTTCACAGGTTTAAGAACAAAAAAACTGATGTCAATGGGCAGGACTTTGATTGGACGCCCTAGTAGTACATCCCCTCTTCCATATGCTTACTAATTTATTATGCTCTTCTTTGTTTTATTTTTTGACCGAGGATAAGATAATAGATAATTTACATTATATTCATATTTAGCATATGAAAATATAGAGATGAGAATTTGAACTTGAGTGCAAATTAATTAGAAGCATATATAAATTTCAACAAAAAATAGAATTACGGAAAACTAAGCAAATAATTTGTGTTCAAACCACACTTTAGTGCCTATGTGTTAATTTAACTTATATGTAAAATGTCCATCCAATTTTCTATTTTATTAAAGCGTTAGGATCAAAGGACAATTTTTTATAAATACGTTTACACTTCTTTTTTGTCTTTAAATCTATCCACATTCGTCTGTCATAAATAAGAGTTAAGATGACTAATCCCAACTCATTATTATTAAATAAAGTGCATGCATGGAAATAAAAATAAATGTCAACTAATAATTTTTTAGGAAAACTAATGAAAATGGCTTGAAAACTTTGAGTTTTCATGATAAGGACAAAATAAAGGGTAAAATAAATAGTACCAGGATTGACTTTTTAGTGTAAAAATATGGTTTTTCGTTAAAGTGAACAGTAACGGGTGCTTTTCATTAAAGTTCCCTAATTTTTTTGGAGAATATAATATTATGTTAAAAGCGTAAACACCTTCACCACTTATACTACGTTCAGTCAGGAGATATTCTTACTGAAAATTTGACATGAAAACTGTTGCCGTGAGTAGTAATTAAAGGGTATGTAAATATGTTGTAAATATTAGGAATCCTTAATTAGTAAGGATATATGTGTGTGCCCTTTATTGCTTATTGTTTCCTTATAGAACAAGAATTGTAACTTGTATATATATATTCAATTATGCAATACAATGAAATTTAAGCCGTAAAATTCTATTTGGCATCAGAGCTAAATTTGCCGTAACCCTAGAAACTGTAAAACAATATTTTCTTCTGCTGCTGTGTTCGGTCTACTTGTTCTTGCATTGCTTGTTGCAGAAATCGGTCAGGCCGTGTATAGTGGATTTGCAGCAGTGTGATCTTGCTGCCGCCATGAGTGGAGCTGTGCTTTTGCAATTGTGCCATGTATTGGTGTGTTTGTTCTGCCCGTGTAAGAGCTACAGGTGTGAGTATGCCGTATAGTGTGCCGTGTGAATTGATGGTGCTTGTATGATTGTAGACTTGATAGTAATAAAAAAAAAACAAGGGAGATTTGATGTTGCTTGCTGCACGATTGCAGCATGTAAATCTGTGACCAAAACCAAAATAATAAAAAATAACAAGGATTTGCTGCTGCTTGCAACGTGTGAATTGTTCTCTTGTACCGTGGGCTGTAGTTTGTGCTACTTATTTCTATCCGTAGATAAGTGTGGCTGCTGTTGTCAACGAAAAACAAAAAAAAAGATTGTTGCCGCATGTGGTCCTTGGGCAGCGTGTAAGGGTTTCCTTTTTATACGGTGAGGTTTTGCGTGTCTACTGCTGGAACTAGGGGTGGAAAAAATTCCCGAAAAGCCCGAACCGAACTGAAAAAATCCTGATCCCAAACCAAAAATTTCCCAAACTGAAATTCCCGAAATTTTCGGGATGCTATCCCGAAGCAATCCCAAAATTTCGGTACGTGATTCGGGATTGGCTTCTCGATATTTAGGGAATCCCATACCGAACCGAAAATATATAATATTAATTATTATATATATATATATTTATACATATATATTATTCTTTTATAATTGATGCTAGTAGTTTCTAATTCATGCTCTACAACCCTGAATGCTCTACACCTAGCATATTTTTCATGTTCTGTTTGATATTCATTTGGATTTTATTATTGCTGCTGCCATGGCTGATGATTTTAGAAGGCTTGATTCATTTGTCTCTCAACAGATTGCAAAAGGGATTTGATTAATTTGAATTTTGACTCTGATAAAAACAGTCAGGCATGCCAGTTTTAGATTAAATTGTAGTGTGAATGAAATGACATTCCTAGTTCATGAATGTGTTCTTGAATTATATATTTGAACAACAATTCATAATTTCATATTTCAATTTGGGATTCCCGAAAATTTGGTTTGGGATTGGTCTTTAAATTCCCGTCCCGAAAAATTTCGGTTTGGGATTCAGGATACTAGTTTCGGTATGGTATCCCATACCGAACCACCCCTAGCTGGAACTGTAGTGTTGTGCCGTGTGGTTGCCTGCAATTGCGTGGTTTATTGTGTATCTATATTGTGCCGTACTTGCTGTTTTGTCAGTGTTGTGCAGTGTGTAGTGACTGCTGTGCAGTATATTGTTATTTCAATAACAAATACATGTTGGATTTTAAATTCTAGTGCTACGGATCATATGACTTATGATAGAACTTTCTTTCAATCCATGAAAGACCCTCATAGAAAGTGTGTGGCAACTGCCAATGGTTCTACTGTTGCTGTTGTTGGAGCGGTAACAATGTCTCTTACACCCTATCTTCCCTTACATAATTGTTTATTGGTTCCGTCATTGTCCCATCACTTATTGTATGTACCTCAAGTCATTGAACAATTGGATTGTGTTGTATTAATGTATCCTTCATTTTGCTTGCTTCAAGATATTCAGACAAAGAAGATCATTGGGCGTGGCACTAAGAGAGAGGGGCTATATTATGTGGATGACATGGTTCCTGGAAGAGCTAATTTGGTTCATGCGTCATGTAATAGTAATCTACAGAAGGTATTGCTATTGGATCGTCGTTCGGGGCATGCATCGTTTGGTTATTTGAAATATATATTACCTGATTTGTTCAGTGGTATTGAAGATTTAGAATTGAAATGTGAAGTACGTATTTTAGCCAAAAGTCATTGTGCTTCATTCCCTCTAAGTATGAATATAACATCTTCTCCATTTATGCTAGTACACTATGATGTGTGGGGGCCTTCCCTTATTAGTACTACTTCGGGAATTAAATGGTTTATTACGTTTGTTGATTGTTGCACTCGTATGACATGGGTTTATCTGTTGAAACATAAAAGTGACGTTAGTATGATTATTTGTTATTTTTCTCAAATGGTGGCTACACAATATTCCTCTGTTATTAAGGTTCTTTGTACTGATAATGGGGAATAATATGTTAACTCTGAGCTATCTACTTTTTTCTGTGATCAAGGAATTCTTCATGAGACAATGTGTTTGTATACCCCACAACAAAATGGGGTAGTTGAGAAAAAAAACCGTCATATTTTAGAAACTGCTCGTGCATTGCTTATTGGTAGGTCCGT